ATCATATCATATTTTCACAACATTATGCAGGAGAATATACACAGCCTGATATCCCTCGGATTGGGAAGAGCGAGACGAAGAAAAGAAAAGAAAAGAAAGCAAGCAAAAGAAGAAGAAGAAGAAGAAAAAAAACCTTGTGTCGGCACGGCGTTCATATATTTGCATCAGTTATCCTCATAAGGAGCCCGATACCATGGGTCGAAAACCGATCACTTTCCAGCCGATAAAAGTAGTCTATTCATAAGCCCAATTGAGAGCGTGATATCATGGATATCAGACGCTGGGAGAGGAGGACGGGAGGAGAGGAGGAGGAGGAGGAGGAGGGAGAGGAGGAGGAAGGAGGGAGGAGGAGGAGGAGGAGGAGGAGGAGGAGGAGGAGGAGGAGGAGGAGGAGGAGGAGGAGGGGAAGAGAGGAGGAAGGAGGAGGAGGAGGAAGGAGGAGGAGGAGGAGGAGGGAGGAGAGGAGGAGGAGAGAAGGAGGAGGAGGAAGGGAGGAGGAGGAGGAGGAGGAGGAGGGGAGAGGAAGGAGGAGGGAGGAGAGAGAGAGATTAGAGCGAATAAGGAGGAGGAGGAGGAGGGGGATGGGAGGGAGGAGGAGGAGGGAGGAGGAGGAGGAGGAGAGGATCAGCATGGCGTCCCAGGTCGGCCCCACCATCGGTCAGCCATGAATTATCATGTGAAAAAGCCCCGTGTCCCGGTTTTCTCCGTCCGTCTCGTCTACACAAGCCGGTTCTATTGTCCGCCGGAACGTGACCCTCGGCCGCGAAGGCATATTTTGACTCGGAAGGAAAAAAAAATATGTGTAAACAAATGATATTCTCTGATAAATGTATCCTGAGTCGGGATCTTTCGTTGATGCACGAGATCGGTCGTAAAAAAAAAAAAAAAAATGAAAGACTTTAAAATACATTCATCGGTCGTAAAACGGATTGTTTGAAAGGTGGGAGACGGAGTATGTAAAAGAAGGAAAAAAATTGAAGACTGTGTTTGGGCTCTTCAACTCAACCCGGGTTTAGTGGCCATTGTCACGAGGTGGCGCTCCCGGGGCTGTTGGCGCTCTTGAGCAATGAATATATTAATTGGCTGTGTTCTCTCGCGTCCTGCTCTGAACGCGCTACGGCCGGCAGAACAAGGGCGTTCACTTGTCACTCCCCCCCCCTCGCCCACGCCCTCAGATGGCTCTCTTGTTCTTGTTCGAGTATCTTTTATCTCTTTTTCTTCTCTTTATACTCTGTCTCTCTCTTCTCTCTTCTCTTTCTCTCTCTCTTTCTTCTCGCTCTCTCTCTCTCTCTCTCTCTCTCTCTCTCTCTCTCTCTCTCTCTCTCTCTCTCGCTCTCTCTCTCTCTCTCTCTCTCTCTCTCTCTCTCTCTCTCTTCTCTCTCCTCTCTCTCTCTCCTCTCTCCTCTCTCTCTTCTCCTCATCCTCCCTCCCTCCCTCCCTCCCTCTCCTCCCTCCCTCCCTCCCTCCCTCCTCCCTCTCCCTCCTCTCCTCTCCCTCTCCCTCCCTCCCTCCCTGAGACTAAAATCAGAAACATAAACATAAAAACTTGAAATAACAGAGATGGAACACTTAAACAAGAAGTGAGGAATATATCTGATCTGGGACAAGACGAGAAGAAGAAGAAATGTTCCAGCACAACCAACGCAAGGTTCCTTCAGTAGAGCCCTTTCCCACCAACACGAACTAACAGATGGAACAAAAACCGCTATTCTTTAGCATCCAACCCTTTTCCTGGTGGTTGTACCCGTGGCTACTTGTACAGGTCTCCTACTGCTACCACTGCCACTGGAAGTACTGGTGATAACAAGGATAAGAGCGATAACGATGGAAGAATGACAAGGGAGTGATAACAATGCTTTCATAAGGATGTTTAAGAATAATGATGATGGTGAGGATGGTGATGTTAATGGTGTTATTAAACAAGCATGCTGATGATGATGGTAATGATAATCAAAACTAAACAAAAATGATGATGGTGATGGTAATAATAATAATAAAAATCAAGAGACAAAACAAACATGATGAGGATGATGATAATGATAATCAACGAACAAACAAGACAAACATGATACTAATGATAAACAAGAATAAACAAACATGACGACGTAAAAGCTAACAAGCAAAACAAGCACGATGACAATAATGATAAACAAGAATAAACAAACATGACAAAAAAAACAAAAACAAAACGTTGACAATTATGAAAACAAAAATATGATGATAATAATAGTAAACAAGAATAAGCAAACACGATAATAATGATAACCCAAAGACGCATTCGCGTTCCCCGCCCTCCTTTCCAGTGCGTTCCCGGCCGCCCAGCTGCGCATTCCTGGCTGGCTGGGGCGGCGGCGTAGAACAAATGGATGCGTTTAATTCACGCCCGCCGTTGACGCTTGGCCGCCGATAACGCATGACTTCATATACCGGCGGTTATTTTGTGATCGTATCTGTTCACTTACCTTCGATTACTGGGCTTCGTTGTTTTTTTGTTTGTTTGTTCTTTTTCTTTTCTTTCTCTTCTTCTTCTTCGTCTTTTTTTACTCTTCATTCTTCCGTTGTTTGTTTGTTCTTTTTCTTTCTCTTCTTCTTCTTCTTCTTCTTCGTCTTTTTTTTACTGTTCTTCCGTTCTTTTTGGTGTTTTTTCTCTCTTTTTCTCTCTTCCTTTTTTGTCTTTGCTTTAATATTTTCATGTCATCTTCCTTTTCGCTTTCTCCTTTTTCGGTTTCTTTCTTCTTCGTTTTCTCTCTTCCTTTATGCTTTTTCTCCTTCTCGCCTTTTTCTTCATCCTATCACTACTGATTCGTATGTTTCGTATGTTCTTTGCTTTCATCCTTTGACTCCTCGTCATGTGATTATTTCTCCTTTCTCTCTTCCTCTTCTGCTTTATCCTCTCGCTTTCCCCTCCCTTACTTCTCATCCACTTACTTATCAACGTATCCTCTCTACTCATTCTTTATTCTCATTCTCTCTATCTTCATTTTCCTCGTACCTCTTCACTCCCCTTCGTCTTCTCCTTTCCTCTTCCTCTTCCTCTTACTCCTCCTCTCCTCCCTCCTCCTCCTCCTCCTCCTCCTCTTCCTCCACCTCCCTCCCTCCTCCTCCCCTCCTCTCCCCCTTCTCCTTCTCCCCCCTCCTCCTCCTCCTTCTCTCTCCTCTTCCTCCTCCTCCTCCTCCTCCCCCCCCTGCCTCCTCCTTCTCCTCCTCCTCTTCCTCCTCCTCCTCCTCCTCTCCTCGTGATACCCAGTTCGTGCGTTTTCATTTCATTATGCATTCCGGTATTTGGCAAGATTGATGATTCATTGTAGAGTAGCCACGGAGACTGGGCAACACACTTCGCAGGCGCTCGTCCTCTCTCTCTCTCCTCCTCTCTCCTCTCTCTCTCTCTTCTCTTCTCTCGTTCTCTCTCTCTCTCTCTCTCTCCCTCTCTCTCTCTCTCCTCTCTCTCTCTCTCTCTCTCTCTCTCTCTCTCTCTCTCCCTTTCCCTTTCCTCTTTCCCCTCTTTTCTTTGGTGTGGCCCTCCTTCTCTCTTTTCTTCATTCCCTCTCCCTCCCTCCTTCCTCCCACCTTGTCCCTCCCTCTGTACTTTTATTCCTCTCCTACTACCTTCTTCCTTCTCTCTCCTTCTCCTTCCCTTTGTCGCTCCCTCCCTTCCTCCCTTACCTTCCTCTTCATCTTCTCTCTCCTTCTCTCCTGTCCCCCTCGCCCTTTCCCTCCCTCCTTCCTCCCTACCTACCTTCTTCATCTTCTCTCTCCTTCTCTCCTTCCTCCACCCCTTTCCCCTCCCTCCTTCCTCCCTACCTACCCTTCTTCATCTTCCTCTCCTCCTTCTTCTCCTTGTCCCCCCCTTCAAATCACCCGTCTTCCTCTCCCTCCCTACCCTACCTCTCTTCATTCTCCCTCTCCTTGCCTCTCCTGTCCTCTTTCTTCCCACGATGAAAAGTGAAGAAACGCTTGATGTGGCAGAAAGGAGAACGACTTGAGGAATTGGAAGGTTATAGCAAACCGCGGGAGCCGGTGGTGTCGGCTGTGTGGTGTTGTGGATTGTTTTTGTTAGTGCAAACTCGAATTTTTCTCCCATCTCTTCTCTTCTCCAACGATCTCTCTCAGTCCTCTTTCTCTCTCTCCCACGTACGCTCCTGTCTCCTCACTCTCTCTCGGTCTCATCTCTCTCTCTCTCTCTCCCTTCTCTCGTCTCTCCCATCTCTCTCTCTGTTTGCGAGATTTTTATCTACAATTTGTAGGGTTCTCCTCTATCTACGCACACATCTACACCAAACTGAATGAAAAAAAAAAAAGGAAGAAAAACGTTTCTCTGCCAGAACGTTTGAGTCGACCGTCGAATTCCTCCCCGACTCACGATTTCCTTTCAGCGCAAAGAAAACGGGAATAGTGCGTGCGCCGCTGGCCCTTTTTCCGGCTCGCGAAATCGATTTTTCATTAACAACTCCCGGATTTATGATCACTGTTCATTTCCCCGGCGAAGGAGAGAAGCGAAAGGAAGGGATGGGAAGGAGGCGAGGAGAGGAGGGAGGAAGAAAGGAGCAGGAGAGGAGCGTGTCAGGAAGTAGATGACAGAATCACGACTCGCCGCTCTGGCCAAGAGGTCGTTATACAGGGCAATATTCAATATAGATTTCAGACTCGGGGTAATATTTAATCCATTTTAAGTGTACTGTGTGTGTCTAGTCAGGCATGTGTATTCTTTATATGTGTATTTATGTAAGAATATGTGTGCTCGTTTCTGTTGTGTGCTGGTGTACATAACTTCAATGTATATTCATCAAATATATTTTTCCCCCAAATGGACCTACATTTTCCTTTCCCACTTAAGCGAAATAGTGTACATAACTTCAATGTATATTCCTCAAATATCTTTTCCTCAAATGGACCTACATTTTCCTTTCCCACTTGAGCGAAAGCAAACACAATTTCCGAAGTATCCACAATGCAGTTTGAACATGTAACTAACTGCCTTTTTTTCTCCTCTTCTTTCCAGGAGATCCTTCACGCTGATTCTCGAGGTGCTGGACATGCGCGCTGGAATGTCGCGTAAGTACACATGTGGCCCGGACGCGACGCCTCTTTGCTGGCTGGTCGGGGGTCGGTTGGGTTGGTCGGTTGTCCGCCGTTGGTTGGTTGGTGTTGTTCTGTTTCTGACTCTTTTTTTTTTGTATTCTCTGTCTGTCTATTTGTCTATATTTTCTTGTTCTCTTTTTTCTCTTGCCTTCTCCCATCTCCCTTTCTATGCTTATTCTCTCTCTCTCTCTCCTCTCTCGTTCATTTCTCTCTCTCCCTCTTTTATCTCCTCTACGCTCCTCTCTCTCCTCTCTCTCTCTCTCTCGTCTCGTCTCTCTGTCTCTCCTCTCTCACTCTCTCATCTCTCTCTCTCGCTCTCTCCTCTCGCTGCTCGCTCTTTCTCGCTTTCCCTCTTTTTCCTCTCTTTCCCTTTCTCTTATCCCTTTTCTCTTTCTCTCTCTTCTCTACATCTTTCCTCCTCCTCGTCTCTCGTCACTCCTCAGCTCCTTCCCTCTCCCTTCCCCTCTCTCTCTCTCCCCCTCTCTCTCCCTTCTCTCTCTCCTCTCTCAGCTCTCCTCTCTCACTCTCGGCTCCGTCTCACTCTCTCTCGCTCGCTCTTCTCTCCCCCTCCTCCCCAAATCCTCTTCCCTCTTCCCCGCTCCGCCCTCTTCTCTATCTTCTCTCTCTCTCATCACTCCCTCTCTCCTATCTCCTCTCCTCTCCTTCTCTCTCTCTCTCTGTCTCTCTCTTCTCTTCTCTCTCATTCTCCTCTCATCACTCATCTCTTCTGTCTGGGTCTACACAATCACTCTCTCTTGTCTACATCTATCCTAAGCGCGTGTCTATGCTAAAAGACACGCGGGGTGGACAAGGTGCGAATATTCGAGAAGGAGAGTAGGTTGAGCACAAATAAAGCACAGGACAACGTAGGAGCACTTAGACAATCAGAGACGCGGGCTGGATCTACAGAGACGTAGAATTGACAAGATAGAGAGGTAATGTTGATAAGAAGAAAATGCTAAGTAGAAGATTAACCTTGCTGACAGGATTGAGGAGGCATGAAACAATGCGCGAACGCATATTGAATAACGAAAAAGGATCATGTTCGGAGCGGTAATGCGGAGTGCCTACATGCGAAGGCTGAAATGTCGTAAGTGGGGACCCTGGAATATCGCGTTGCGCGTAGGTAGCCGCGCTTATGTCGCGACTGTGCGGCAAGCTATGCAGATCCTCGGAATGCTTTTACAGTTTGCACTTACACCGGGTAGGGGGTAGCCAATAGCCAATCTATTACTGCGTGGTGGTTGACACGAGCTCGCGCAGGATTGTTGCAATGCGATTTCGAAGATATCTGATCGATCACAATTCAACATGAGTTCCTTAAGCGGGAAGGAGAGAATTTCGAGGAGGAGGAATGGAAGCTATTAGCGCCTGACGTACCCTTCCCCTCGCCCTCCCTCCCTCCCTCCTCCTTGCCTGCCCTCCCTCCCTCGCCTCCCTCCTTTCCTCTGCCTCTCCTTCCCTTGTTGCCGTAACATAGTCTGAGGGACGCCAGCGATAGAAGAATCTGGTGCTTGTTACTCTCCCCTCCCGTCTCCCTCCCTATGCACAGTCCATCCCCATATCCCTCGCCAGTGCCTTCCCTCCCTCCCTCCTCCCCTCCTCCCATTCTTCCCTTCCCGTCTGCCTCTCATATTCCTTTGTCCCCTAATCGTGGTGTCTTTTGATTTTCTGTTCTCATGTTCTTCTTTGCTTACCCTCTAAACGGCACAGTCGAGATCCGCACTCTTATCGTCCATAATTAGTGATAATCGTCTGTCACTAGCTCTTGAGACCCAATCACACCTCGGTCTCCGAGTTAGTCTTGTAGCTTACTTTACGCTTCCTGTTCACCGACCCTCGATTCTGTTTCTCTTTTGGGCACTCCTCGTGGCGCTGTTCGCCTTCTCGACCGCTGTGTCCGGTAACCAACTAAAGCCATATTCGGTCTTTACCCACCGATTATCGCCGCAGTTGTGTTCTCTGTTCCCTCTCCATCTTTGCTCCCTAGTGCACATACTATATCTACTTTCTTATTATTTCCTCCGCATGTCTCACGGAAAGAGGTTCATTCTCGACTGAGAGGCCTTGACCCTTCATCTCCCTGTCTTTCTCCCGCTCCCCTCTTCTCTACTTATACAGCCAGGTTCTCCTTCTAAACCCTCCTACTCCCTCCTTCTCTTACTCCCTCCCCTCATCACCTCCCTTTCCCCTTTTCCTTCTCGATCTCTCCCATTCCCCTTCCCTCCAGTCCAATCCCGCTCGTATCACTAGGCACCTGCCATTCCCTCTCACAGCCTCGCCCTCTCGTACTCAGAGGATCCGATGCACCAACTATACCACCGACTACCGTCCACACCCCTAGACAGATACCCCTCTCCACCTCCGATGAGGAAATAGAGTCACCCTCTCTCTCCTCTCCTTCTCTCCTTGCACCCCGCCCTCACCTATGCGACGAGGAAGGCTAACGAACACAGAAACAGAGAACAGAAAACGAACAAACACTTCAAGGCAGAAAACGTCGGACATCGAGAAGAACGAAAGAGACAGGAGAACGAAGCAAGATACATTCAGCCGGAAGGGTCACAAATTAGCGCACGGCCGCCGGGGGGGGACAGAAGAGTAATGTACCCAGGGGAGCAGGATAAGTCGCATCGGGTATCTGAACATAGATGAGTACGGCGCGGCCGTCTCATGGATAGTATCTAGAAAGGAATGCGAAAAAAATGTGCTAGGATATGAACGAGTACTGAGTAGCACGCGCGAGGGGTACAGTTAGACGAGCCGTACCCCAGACGAATCACCTGCTGTCCCTCATGAATAGGGTAAAAAGGAGGGAGGGGAGAGAGGGAGAGAGAGAGAGAAAAAAAATGAACAAACATAACGCCGCTGACACAAAGGGTCGCTGGTGGATGTCATGTTCGTATTAGAGAAGGTGTGGATAATGAAGGGGGAGGAGGGGAAGGGGTGGGTAAAGAAGGGGGGGAAAGGGTGGGAGAGGGGGGGAGGGGAGGATGTAAAGAGGGGGAAGAGGGGAGGGGTTGGGTTGAAGAGGGGGAGAGGGAGGGGTGGGTAAGAGAGGGGGGAAGAGGGGAAGGGGTGGGTAAGGAGGGGAGGCTGGAAGGAGGGAGGGAGGGAGGTGGCGGGGGGAGAGGGCTTGGAGGAAGGAGATGGGAAGAGGGAAGGAAAAGGGAGTGAGATAGGAGGAAGGAAGGAAGAAGGGGAGAAGTG